TAAACACATTAAGGAATATGTAGTTACTCAATACAAAATAAAAAAGTTATTTATATCTTATCTTATCTTATATCTGCATTTTATGTAACTCTTACTTATCCTAAAATGCAATATAAAGAACTAATGTTAAATAGTGCTTTACTAGTAAAGTTCACTTATTTTGTATTTAAATATTGTTATTTATTGAAAGTTAAATCTATAATATTATGTCCATGGACAGTTAACTAATATTACTGAATTTTATTACCAACAGAGTATACTTTCAAAATATATTTAAAGTCCTTTTAAATTTAAAATAGTCCAATTATTATAATTGGCTTATTAATTAATCGCACCTTTAGTCGCAGTTCTCACTAAAATTATAAAAATATAACTTACTTCATATTTAAATACTTTCAACATTTTCGAAGCCATAGTTAAATTATTAGGTAATTTGATAATTACAAACACGGTTTAGTGGCCAACTATAGTGTAGGTGAGGGGGCGTGTGAGGCCAAACCGACTGATTAAAATACGAATGTGGATTTCTGACCTTGGAATGATAAAATTATTCAGATTCGCTCGTTGTCGACTTGATTGTTTTGACTTTTGATTACTATCAATTCAGTGTTGTTATCGTAAAAATTTGAGCTGCCGTAAGTCACAGTCTGGTTTGTCGTATTTAAGAAAAAAAAAATACTAAACCGCCGTATTACATTATTTATTTAAAAAATATCTGTACCTCATTTGCTTATAATTCAAAAAAAATTTTTTTGTAACATGTTTGTCACAAGTTGAAAGTTCACATGATGCACGTCCGATCATTATACATAGGAGCAATCCAGTTTTTGAATAAATCGCGACTCTCCCACTGTTGCTGTATTTTTGATATAGCAATGAATGGCCTGCCGCACGCCGTATTTCCTGGAAAAAAATTGTCACAGATTGTCGTATAATACGGCAATTGCTATTATAATATTATCAGTCATTACAGTATTATCAGTATCAATAGTAATTTTACAACGCTGAATCAATGACTCCACGACTTTTTCTGACACCAGGTCGGCGCCACTAGAAAGTGAGTATATTTGACAGATTTCATAGCGGGGAATTTAATTTGTTCGGAAAATGTAAAGTTTATTGTTTCTTTCTGGGTTGGCTATAGATATTCGGTGCTTGATTTTAATTATATTTTCAGTTTAAGAGGCTTGTCAGGGCTAAGCATGAACTTTTTACACTGATTTTGAATATCGGAAATTCGTTTTGAATTTATTACGACAAAAATAAATTTCACTGAAAATACCGTATAACGAAAGGCAAATATGACAATTTTGTATAGTGTTATGAGATAAGATGTGAAAAACCGATGTAAAAAGTGTGAAACGGGACAGTTGACGGCCATGTTTTGGGCAACCGTAAACTATACTACTAATATGGCTGCAGCATTTTTTTATAGGATAAGGGTGACAAACGAGCACACAGTCCACCTGATGGTAAGTGGTTACTGTGGCCCATAGACATCTACATCTATCTTCGATTAAGAATCAAAATGCAGATGCGTTGTCACCCGTGAGGATTAAGATGGAATGCCTCGTTTCCAGTAAAAAGGGTCTCCGGTTCTCTACACTCACCACACGAAACACAGCAGCGTTAAGCTGCTATTTTACGCTGGTATTCTGTGAGAGCGTGGTCCTTCCCCGGTCAAGCCGACCCATTCGTGCTACAACCATAATATAGCTGCAGCATGGCTCTACCACGTATAAAATGCTCTACCACGTAAAGAAATAGCATAGCTCTACCACGTAAAGAAATATTATTAATAATTACATATTTTATATACGCATTATCTAAACAATGTAGGGTAGACTGTACAATGATTGGCACTTTAAGCATTTTGCAAGATATTATTATACAGAAAACATAACAGGCTTTACCATTTCTTGCTTGTTGATCAGTAGAGATAGTTATTAAAATTGTTTATTAAAGTTGTCCTTCAATGAAGTAGAAATATATTTCGAAATGTGTGAAAGTGGCTTAATGGTTGAGTGATCATCTTTCCACTAATTGTAACTTGAAGTCTTCTGAACCTAGTGTGTAAAAAACCACCAGCGACTAAAGGCAAAATTCGTCCACTAAAAGGGATGTAGAAACCACCTTAGGCTTAGTGGAAAATTCACTAAGTTGGCAACAATGGATACTTGTCAAAGCTCAGCTGTCAGTTGAAAGGAGATTGTCATTTTTCGTTCTTGTGACGATTTGTCAATGAAGGTAGGCAAAGGTCTAATACCATACAGCCTAGTCTGATTTGTAATGCTTACAAAAAAAATATGCTGATGCGACACATTGAAAAGGTCTTGGGAGATTTTGACGACAGTTTAACCCACACAAACAGAGGAACAGACACAGTTGATGACGATGATTGTGATTGATGAAATTTATATCGCCATCGAAGCATTTCCTTCATAGTTTTCACTAACAGATCACATGCTCAGTTAATTTAAAACAAAAAATCGCACCAATTTTACGACCACTAAACCAAGGAGGCAGTCTACTTCAAGTTTTTTAGTAGTGATCGATGACTTCAAACCATTATATAAACGATAAAACAGGAGTAGCAATTCGCCGGTAGTCAAGTTCTCGCCAAAACTTTAAATCATAGAGATGTTTGTTTGGATTTTGATTTTACATCGATTTAACTTATTTAATTTGCGGATACAATATTATAAAACAAACAAAAAAATATTTTAAATGGTAATTTCTTTTATTTAAAATCTTTTAATTTACATAACATAATAATATCAAATATTTATTAACAACAAAAACCATACAATGCAATAAATATCAAAATTTGAATAAGTATATTAAGTTTTATGTTATATTAAATATATTTTATATAACTGAGAAAAAAGTGATGTTACAAACATGAACATGTTTTCCCAATCAAATGTGAAATTGAATATTAGGTCTTTACCTATGAAATAGCCGTTTTTTATGAAATAAGTTAACGTAATTTTTTTTCTATATTTAATATTTCTATTAAATAAAGTAATCACATTCATCTATGAATCGATGCACCTTTGCCAACGCAGGGTCAGTTTTTTGATGCCCTTCTTGAAGAAATCAGCTGGACGGGAGGCAACAAATTCTTCAAATGCATTTTGTACATAATAATTTAAAATTAAAAATTTTGTACAGCCGACTTCAATATAAGTTATTTAAGAATAACTTAAAAACTATTGGTCTGACCTTGATCAAATTCATATGGGACCACACGAGAAGTACCAGCTTTCAAATAAAAAAAGAATCATCGAAATCGGTTCACCCAGAAAAAAGTTCTGAGGTAACACACATAAAAAAAAAAACGAAAAAAAAAAAACATACAGTCGAATTGAGTACCGGCTCCTTTTTCGAAGTCGGCAGAAAATCAATTTGGTTTCACAAGGGGTCGCTCGACAACTGATGCCGGTGTTGAGCTGATTAAATATATATTTAATGCATGGCTGAATTCACACGATGCTTTGGGTATATTTTGTGACCTATCCAAAGCCTTCGATTGTGTTCACCATTAAAAAAATAAATCAGGAAACTTCAACACTACGGTGTAAGAAGTGATGCTCTTAAATTAATTATTTCATATTTAAGTAAGAGAACGCAAAAAGTTGTCATTAACAATATGAGCTCTTCCGGATCGACGGTACAAATGGGCGTGCCTCAAGGCTCAATTCTCGGCCCCTTTCTGTTTCTTGTATACATTAATGACTTACCTTACATAGTAGGAGATAACCATGATATAGTATTATTTGCAGATGACACTTCTTTAATTTTCAAATTAAGTCGACAATTGCTAAAATATGACGAAGTAAATAATGCTATATCTAAATTAGTAAATTGGTTCAATGTTAATAATTTGCATTTAAATGGCACTAAAACGAAATGTATGAAATTTATGACTCCAAATGTCAATCAATTAAATACTAATGTAATTTTAAATGGGGAGAACTTGAGTCTTGTAGATACCACCATTTTTCTTGGAATCACACTAGACGCGAAGCTTCAATGGAGCCCCCATATATCAAAATTAGCAAGCAGACTTAGTTCTGCAGCATATGCCGTAAAAAAGATTAGAAGTCTAACTAGTGTTGAAACAGCTAGACTAGTTTACTTTAGCTATTTCCATAGCATAATGTCGTATGGTATTTTGCTATGGGGACACGCAGCTGACACTGAAATTATATTTGTTTTACAGAAGAGGGCCATAAGAGCAATTTATGATTTAAAGCCTAAAGAGTCGCTGCGACAAAAAATTAAGGAAATTAATATATTAACTTTGGCCTCTCAATACATTTGAGGGGTGTAATTTCAAAACCCACTAAACTAACTTTAGGAAGTTTTGTACGAGAAGTTTTTATTGATTTTACTGTAGTTAATTTAACGCGAAAGGTAATAATTCATGATAAATTGGTTGCTACGGTATTGTAATCCTTATAAATGTGAAAAACCTTTTCATATTTAAGAGCATTTTCAAGAAAATTTAAAATTCAATTCTATTATGGAGGAATTTGCAGACAACCTGTCATTATAATGGATTTTGAAAATTAACTGTCATCCTATAGAGGGTTTTGCAACTAACCTTTAATGCTCGATGGATGGTGTTATGCTATGAAGCCTAGAAAACAATCTCACTTAACTGTATGTAGCTATGTATGAAAATGTACAAATTAAAAACAAAGAGCGGGAACAATTTGTTTATTGAAAAAGAAAAAAAAATTAAATGTGTGCAGTTACGTCTTGGAAACCATGCTCACATAAGTTATTGTTCATGTTGTCGATGCCATGTGATGGTATGTAAGTTTTATTTTCTATATCAACATAATATTTTAGTTGAGGCAAATCCCTCCATTCTCCACCAAAATGTTTTTGAAGTAAATCACAAACATCTTTCACTTTGGCTTCGTTCGGTAGTATAGTGTTTGGTGATAACATTTGTGGTATAATCATTGTTATTTTTTTGTTTTTCTTTGTTATAATTTTTTTTTATTAATTTCATTGCGGTAAGTTTCTTCCCCTTGCACCAATATATTTTCTGTTTTAGTACGAGTAAGGAAAAATCGTTTGCTCCTCATGAATGGAAAGTGACAGGATGATGTAGGTTTTATTACGGGATCATAAGCTGCCTTCCAATCATAAACTGGTATCGTTGCCAGATTGATGCACGTTCCATTTTCCTGCAAAACTTCGGTGTATTCCGAAGGAGTAACAACCACTTCTTTGGTTTTTAATGTCCTCTCAATTTTAGCGAAAACACGATCGGGAGGAATGAAGGAGTGTCCTACCACTGGAAAAATAATCTCAATTTTTTTCACATTCCGAGGCGCTTCACTATACAACCATTTACCTAGCATGCTAACCATTCCCGTATTTTTATTTTGGCCGGAACATCCATCACAAACTACTCTTAGTACCTTCACGTGCGATTCTATAACGGTTCCTTGCAAGAAGTGGTAAACTGCACTAATGATTTGGTTGCTGCCCTTAGCATGATTCAACTCAGTCCAATAATAGGAACGCACATTTTCCTTTGTCAGTTTTGTTTTTGAATTTCCTTGTACTATGGCAAAATGGTAGAAATTAAATTGCCTGCTAAAATAAGCCGACTGATCGGGCAGTTTCGGAAGCGGTTGGTTTTTTTGGCAATCAAATGTAATTGTTAAAATATCTTTATTTTCGTCTTTTATAATGTTATAGAAAGCTTTGTATTTTAACCTGTGGATCCTCTTTTCTATCATTAATTCATTTCTCTTTATAGGACTTTTTTCATTTTTCAGGCGTTCTTGTAATGAAATGCACGTGGAACATACATCTGTTCTGGGAGACCCAAAACCAAAGTTGTACGAATTATTTACAATTTTTCTAAAAAAACTTTGCTTAACTTTTAAATCCTCATCTCTTTCTTGGTTGTACATCCGCCACATCTTTCTAATATTCAACCCTGATGGCAAATAAATTCTGTTTGTTTGCGATCTGCAATAGTGACTCTCGATCCCTTTAAATTTTTCCAAAAACCAATCTACTGACAACCTCTTCGCTTCATATTGTTCACTTTTCCTATCTCCTCCTCTATTTTCTTTTAATGGAGAACCATCGCTCAAATAAAAACGTTTCATCACCCCCTGAACCCTATCTTTCTTTATTTGAAGCGAGTCCAAAAATGTTTTTTGACATACCGGTTTTCGACCACCTCCACTGACAGGTATATTGTACTTAATAGTTAATTTCCGTTTACTGTTTGGATTATTTTTTATGGTTTGATTGACAAGACAATATCTTAACAAAAAATTATCTTGATCGATTTTGGTCTTACATTTATAAAAATTTCTATGAAATTTTCGGATGTCTTGACAAGAAACTAGGTTGCACCGAAAAGCTTTTTGATTATGGTCGCAAGAAGGAAATTTCGGGAGTGATTTTGGCTCGTATCTAAAACAAAAATAGCAATAAAAGTTTGGGAATAGTAATACTTGACGAATTATTTTGGGAGCTGACCTTTTTTAGCTACTGAAAAAAGACATGATAGGTAATTGAAATAGATGCCAATGGCACTCATTAACTTTTCATTATTATTTTTCCCCATTCTTTTAGTAAATAACTTACAAATAAATAATAATAGACCCCAAACAAAAATAAATAAAAAATATTAAAGTAAAAAGTTTAAATAACTATGTGCCATTGACACCTATTTCATTTACCTATATACCCAATTTTTTTAGACAGCTTAAAAAGCCAGCCGGTATACTACTCAAAACAAAATAAGGTTCACTCCAACTCTGTGTTTTTGTTAAAATACTAATTAATTGATTAATATTTATTGTTAAGTAGTTACTAATAAATACAGAGAAGAGAATACACAGAAAAGTTTTCTACATTGGCCCAACCGGGAATCGATCCCGGAACCGCAGAGATGGCAACGCCAAGTCCAAAATTTTCGCTTTTCGGCTACAGAGGTCGTCAATTGAAATAATCGAACATGTTTTGAAAATAATATATTAATAGCCTTTAAAATACGGAGGCCCTTATTTTATTTTAAGTAGGTAAGTATCTACTTTACTTAGAAAGTAACATAAAACAGTAAACATTCATGTCAAAACGGTATGTTTTCCTTAATTCCAGTGAGTCTCCTAATTGCGAGACTTACCTACATTACTTCATGTTGCATAAAACTTTCTAACGAACTTTTTAAGTAAGTTATAGGTAAGATTGTACTCACCGTTTTCGGCGCTCCTTTTCACGTTTCCAAGATTTTGGAGTGCGTGGACGCTTCCGAGCATATTTAGGATCACATTTTTTGACAAATTGAGCTAGATCATCCATGTTTTTTGGTAAATTTAATTAAAAACCGCGAGCAACTGCTATCAGCACAACCAAAATCGCCATCACAGAGTACTTTTATATGATCGCCATACTGTTTTTCAAGTCACGTGTTTGCAATGCGCCGCTCCGATTGGTCGATTTCATTTTAGAGGAATTTGATAGTAACACTCGATATTTTAGCGGCATTTGCAACTAATGTTGATTTTCAAACTGAATTTACTGTGTATTTTAGCGGAGTTTGAAAATTAACATATGGTGTATAGCAAAGGAAATTTCAAGATTTTCTTTTGATACAAAAATGTAAAAATGTATACAAAATCATTATAGGGGGTTTTGAAATTACACCACTCATTTATGAAAATGTAATGTACGTACACAAAAATAAAAGTAGTTTTACAAAAATAAGTGATATTCATTCTGTAAATACTAGGAACATACACAAGCTAGTAGTACCAGTTACTCGACTCCATCGAGTCAGTAATTCATTCTTGGGGCGATGTATACGCTTTTATAACAAAATTCCAGAAAATATACAAAATTTGACCTGCTCAAATTTCAAAAACTTTATTAAACTAAGTTTGTATAAAAAGGGTTATTATAATATTAATGAATTTATAGATGATAATAACCCCTGGAAATGATCGCTACCAAGCTATTTCTAATTTGTTGTGTTGTTAATTTGTGTAACATACATGTATTGATTGTAAGCTGTTATTTAAAAAAAAAGTCCCGCTGGGTTTCTTGCTGGTTCTTCCCAGGACAGAGGTTTTTTTTTCGAACCAATGGTAATCATACAAAAGAGTGACTTTCAATAAGTATTATTTATAATCTATATTGAATAAAAAAGTTTCTGTTTCTGTTTCTGTACTGTCTCTCGGGTATTGAATAATTTTCCCGCCAAAACTTATCCAAATTCAAGAAAAAGTAGAAGTCTGTAGGCGCAAGGTCTGATGAGTACGGCAGATGACGGAGAGCTTCTAACCCCAGCTCTTTTAACTTGGAGACCGTCTGTTGTGTAGTATGAGGTCGTGCGTTGTCGTATAGGAGCAGCGGAGACGAGCGATTGACCAAAGCTGGTTGGAGAGGTGCGAGTTTCTCCGTCATTGTGTGTTTAGTTCTTTACAGTACACATATGCAATAATGCTAATCCCGTTTGGTAAGAAGCTGTAATGAATCAAACCGACGCTAGACCACTAAACACCAAAAACTTACCACTTTTCAAAGGGGTAAGTTTTCGTTTAGGGCATTGCTGAAACAGGATCCAACCAACTAGCTGAGTACTTGCGATTGTAAAACAGAATCCATTTTTCGTCGCAGGTAATAAATACTGCGATTCAACATTCCTCCGTCTGTGTGCCGGTTGAGCAGTGCAAGGCACGTCTCGACGCGTAATTCGCGCTGGGGATCGTTGAGTTCGTGGGGCACCAACTTGTCAAGCTTTTTACTTTGCTAATTTGACGCAAATGGGCCAATATTGTTTTAATGCTAACGTCGAAAGCTGCTGCTAATTCAGCCGTAGAATGAGTATCATCAGCTTCTACAATCGCCTTTAATTCGTCATTGTCGACCAAAGTTTTCGGACGACCACGGGGTTCTTTTTCCAGGGCGAAATTGCTGACAAGGAAACGGGCAAACCAATAACAGATGGTGCGTTCGTTTGTAGTACCTATTTGTTTCGTAAGTTTCGTTGATGTTGCGTACCGTTTGTGCCGCGATTGTGATAATTATTAATTACTCGAATTTTTAATGTATCCGCGATAACGAAAAAGATTCAAATGCGATGAAAACATAACGCTGAACAATAATCAAAAATCGCTAATCAAATAACTAATTTTGAAAAATATTTCCATGTTTTTAAAATAACATTAATTTTAAATTAATTTAAAAAAATTATTTAAAATGCTCTGTACCGCAGAACGGCAATTTTGTAGGTAAAAACCTATTACATATTTATATTAAAGACTAGCTTTTTACCCGCGGCTTCGCTCGCGTGCGCTTGAATCTAGGAACATCATTAAATGCTGTTCCGTGCCAAATTTAGAAAAAATCGATCACTTTTAGTCACCTCGGTGTCTATGTCTCTATGTCTGTCAAAGATTTTTTCATTCTAAAATACTATTAGACGTAGATGATTGGTAACATGCTACAGAAACACGTGAATATATTATACATATGTCTAGAAACACCTGCTATTTTTTATATCGGGCGTGTCTTCCGAATTCCGATGTATCCATAAGAAAGGTAAATAGTTGAAATCAAAATGTAATATTATTATTTACATTTTACTCTTTACATTTATTCATAGTTAAAATTAATTTAGTTATAACAAAGTAATATAATGTTTATTTTAGACATTTTATTCATATCATTGGTCCTATTTAATATTGTTTTGCACCATAAAATAGATGTAGATATTTTTTTACTTGAAAATAGACTTGAAAATTTCATAAATAGAGATCTATAATAATGAATACTACACATCGATTAAAACTAATGTTTTAATCGATGTGTTTTAGATTAAAGTTCTGAGTAAAAGAACATATCGTTGATGTGAAGCACCGAAGCTCCAGGAAGTCTAAAGTATGTCAACATGTTTAGTATCGTCCAAGCATTATATCGGATCTGATAGATAACAAATCCTTGCATTAAAACACCGAATCCTACCAATGATGATTCGCGAGGCTATTCTATATATATATATAGAATTTGAAAAGTTAAAATTAAACGCGATAAAATTCTTCAAATTAGTTTTATTCCTTATAAATTTTATTCGCAGTGAACGTGAGGAGCACTACACCCATGGGGTAGAAAAATGTACGCCTTGTCGTGGCGGTGAAAGAAAATCCACCACCTCATATCGACCCGTCGTAAGAGGCGACATAGGAAAACAAACTGAAGATGGGATGGGCTGCATCATATTCTTGACAACCGATCAAAATAATAATAGCTGCGGTTGCCAACCCGCCTACCAAGCGTGGCAACTATAGCAAATATCCAGCTACTTGACAATTTATGGGGGAGGCCTATGTTCATCTCAGTGGACTTTTGATAGGCTGACGATAATGAGTTCTGCTCATCTTTGCAAGCCTTAATATTTACGGCAGAGTGAAAACAAAAAGTAACATAGCCGAAAACACGAATGGAATAAAAACTGCATAATATAAAAAAGTAAAAAAGTAGTAGCTTACATACATGTTACTACTGGGTACAGGCCGCAGAGTTTTTGACCAAAAAGTCTTCACTGCGGTGATTCCAACGCGGGATGAATGTAATGTAAATGATCCAATTATTTACATTGTATATTCAGTAGCATTGTATTATTTCATTTTATCGATGACTTGCCATTTTAGTTTATTTAGAAGTCTAATATTAGCGACACCTACTTAGGTGGCGCCAATATTAGATAAAATAATGAAAGCCAAAACTATACCATCTAGTAATATCAGCAACAGAAGCTATCATTTATTTATTATATCAATAAGGAATAAAGTGATGTCAATTGTCTTAAAAGTTCTGTTTCTGTTAAAAAATATGCTATCAGCGCCCCTAGCGGTGAAAAATGATTAAATGATATTGTCATATTACCATGTTATGAAATAGCAACGTTGTGTTTAGTTATTAATATCTTCAAATGATTTCTATTCATTGATTTGGTCAAGCCATATCATGACATGGTCAACAAATAGTGTTAAATATCATGAAATGACCACACCATTTCACGAATGTATAGACTACTTTATGATATAGGTATTATCAATTCTCCAATCTGGCCACGACATACATAAAAATCTCTTTAATAAAACTATAATGATAATGAAAATTTTGCAACAATTGCAGACAGACCAGTTTTAATTACTTTACATATATATATATATATATATATATATATATATATATATATATATATATATATATATATATAATAACAAAAATACTAAAAACCTAAACGTTAAATTTTTTTCATAATTTTAAATAATCATGTAAATTTAAGTTATTTATATTATTTTTCATTTATTAGTAACTGAAGGCAAAATATACTACTTCTTCCATTTTATGATAGATGGCGCTGTTTTGAATACCAAATCAGTGTAGTTTCAAATTATTTTACCAAGATTATAATTATATTTTAAACTTTATTTACAAATATGGTTTTAATTTGAAAATCACCCGTCATCTTGCATATAACTAAGATATAATAGAAAATTAACATGTAAAGGAAATAGAATACATAAACTACCTTTTTTGAAGTTCTGTAATCGGATAAAAAGTAGCCTATAAGTTGCCCCGGGGTACTCACTACCTATATACAAAATTTCATGTAAATCGGTTTAGTAGTTTTTACGTGAATCCGGAATACACAGACAGACAGACAGACAGACAGACAGAAAGACAGACAGACAGACAGACAAAAATTCTAAAAACCACTAATTTGGCTTCAGAACCCTTTATTTAGTCCCCTGGACTTCTTTTTTCAAGAATATATTAGAATTACAGACACGACTTTTCTACAGATTTATTATATGTATAGATAGATATACCTATTCAGGTCATAAATTCTGTCACATGTTTAATATAAAATAATTGAAACAAGTTTATTCATTATGTAACCATTTATATACCAAAATGAACTTAACAAAACATAGATTCTTATGACACTAAAGTTTATTCAAAATGACCTCCGTGATTTTGAATACAGGCCTTCAATCTGCGCGGCCAATCGTCTATCGCAGCACCAACGAGGTCCATGTCAATATCGGCGGCTGCCTTAATCAAGGAGGTCTTGAGTGACTCCAAATTGGGATGAGGCTTTGAGCACGCCTTTTCCTTAAAGTGTTGCCATATCTTGTAATCTAACGGATTCAAATCTGGACTGGAGGAGGGCCAGTCTTCGTGCCGGATGAAGTCGATTTCACGCACCGCCAGCCAGTCTTGTGTGCTCTTCGCTCTATGAGCTGGCGCTGAATCTTGTTGGAATACCCAGTGCCTGTTATTGAACATGG